ATGTCTATTGCACAATATACTATTTTGGCTTTCTACTTCTTCAACTTAGAAAAATCAACTAATGTCAAACAAAACTCCGTTAAGAACATTCATAAATATTTCTTTCAGATACAAACTGGAAGATAATATATATCTGAAACAACTACTTCTGCGGATATTGAATTACTCTGAAATAATTTTTTCATTCGTAAAATTGAACAGACATTGTATATTTACAAATGAACTACACATTAGCAAAAAGATAATCCGGGCTGGTAGGACGCAAACAACGCACAATCCACAGTTCGGATTTTATTTTCTCTAAAAGTGGCTCCGACCATGAAAGCAATGTTTTTATATTGAACAACACATTATTTCTTATTTAATACAACATCAGTATTGGATATCTAACAATTTGGAAACATTTTCCAGATTTCCCGTAGTTTATTTACCTAATTCACGTTATACAGTTTTGCACGAATAAAAAGTAAACTATTTGGACGATTTTGTTAAATTAATCGATCGGTTACTGTATATTTTCTTAACCTTCAACCTTCAATTTAACTTCATGTTAATACTTCTTTCCTATAGGATTAGAAAAAGCCTACCAGATTGTTCCAATTCGAAACACATTATTGTATGTTCCATTTTCAAGCAATTAAACTGTTATAGGGTGAATAATAATAATACTAATCTGCACATTTGTGTTATTTATAAACAATACGTGCTCATAATTGCACTACATATTATAAAACAAAGTTCCCACCAATGGGTTTTAATAGGGTTCTCACCAATGAACGAAATTTTATCGATGAAAACACTGCCCAATCTGTTTGAGATATAGCAAAACAATTCACTACATATTGTTCTTCTTTTATAGATCAACAAAAACACCTTATAATTGCCTTCACTGCTTAAAATTTGAATTGATATCTTGGGAGTTATCGCAAAATCAAAACTGAAACGCGACAAAATAAATTCTAGCCATCACACAAACCGATGTGACATGCGTCATGAAGAACCGTTGATTTTGTTTTTCCTAGCGAATCAAATTTAAGGTTAAAATTGCATTTTTATTTTCTGTTGTATTTAGGTACATAGGTAGTTACCTATTTCAAAAATTAGTAAATTGTATTTAAAGTCATGTTTCAGCTTATTTATCAAAAATAAATTCAGAGTTATGAGGGCGAATAATGGAAGTCTGAAAAATCTGATGTATGTGTTTCAAAGTAACTTTACAGTACTACTAATTTCATTTCCATTGCAAGCTGAATACACACATATGTAGTATCAGTATGTAAATAGAAAATGACAATAGTGGAATGCTTCATTTCAATTAAAGGAGAGTTGGGAATTTGAAAATATGTGCAACTTGTAGACGGATGTAGTCTACAGTGTGTAATTGAAAAAATGGAATCGGTAAGATATTATTACATTAAAGGTAAGAATAAGTATCAAGAGTTCAAAGATATTGATATAATACTTACGAAATACTCACAGTAAAATTTTCAAAACCAAATTGCTTGGTAGAACGCCATAGACTTTATATAAAGAAATGTGATATTTGTCAATGGTGCCTTTGTCTAAAGGTAATTCAAAATATATTTCAAATAGCATGGGGAGTTCGCCAATTGATGTATGTCACTCAATCATCGTGATAAAATTTATTATTAATTATCCAATACCTACAACTGAGTTCTTCTATACTGCAACGAATTATCTGCTGTCACTACTGATGAGTCTTTAAGTGGGTTCTTAAGGAATAAATAATTGGAGCGATTCCTATAATTATCGCACTTATTATTTTACTAGTTTACTATCGCTTTCCCCGCTCGCAAACAATTCCGCGAAATAATGTGAACTGTTGGGTGTAGAATCTTAATTAATATGTATGTTTTACAAATCACTCGACAGCATTCCATAGGACCTTCATTCACCTTCGGCTATTTTTGCGTTCGTTTTTCGAAAGCCGTTGACGCTCCGCGCTAGGCGATGTATTGTTATGATTCCAACATTTCATATGTAACAACAAATGTCATCTGATTTATTAGTAATGTAGTATTAAAATAGTAATGTAGTATTAAAATAGTAATGAAGTATCGAAATAACGAAGTACATATTGTTTTGACAGAATTTCTATAAAATGATTTCAACATTAGTTTTTCCAAACAGTGTACTCCTTCCTGGATTTTAACAAATTGAGATTATTCAAGGTTGACGTCTTCTCTTTCAAACAACTTTTTGATATACTTATTTTCATCCTCGTCCGTGCAACAGTTTTTGGGCAAACCACTGGCTTCTTGTTTAATTTGAATAAAATTGTTCATCATTTCGGTTAACAAACTATCTGACCCAATATTTTTATTTCAACTATTTTACATCACAAGACCAAATTTCTTGTATATCTACCCGCTTGTATCTCATTTCTACAGTCTTCTGATAGCCCTAACGGGTTGCTGTGTTATCAGGCAACCCGTTAGGGCTATCTCTTTTTCGATATACCACAGCGTTTGCATAAAATAAGCATTAACATTTTGCTTATTCTTTGTGGTAACATAGGATGGTATAGATTTGCGGGAAGGTGAAACTTTTCACTTGATGAGATCTGTCATATTGTTGAGACAACATACACTATAGGTGTCTGACTGGAAATTTTCCATATTAACAGACATATCCAAGGATACAAAGAATAAACGTCAACATATTTAATTGTTTTGTCACCAGTGGCTTCATAATATTCGACAGTATTCCCTGTACGACTTCCGTTTAATAGTCTTGAGGAATTATCGATGTAGAGTTACAGAAGGATGCGAATTGATTAACGTAGATAGTTTTTGTCTTTCAGCATTTCTCGAAAATCACATTCGCACAGTTTTGTTACTTCATAATCATTAATTTTCAAATGCTCTCTGCTTACAACTATTGCTTTGAACCGTGTATTCAAAAATTCCATAGGATTATCAATCAGCGGGTCGTATTTAAAACAGTGTTGAAGCCATAGTATCGCAGTCCTGAAACTGAAATTTAGTTGGTTTCGGGACAGAAATCATCGACTTTACCATCAGCATAGCTAAATATTATCTTAATATTACGGGCTCTCTCTTCCCGAAATCAGAAATTGTATAGCTATTTTTGATTGATTGTCTTTTTAACCGTGTTTATGTAGTACTCCAACGGTGTTTGACTTCAAAGATAATAATAATAATGTAATTTATTGAACAAAATTACAATTTTGCTTAACTGGCTATCGACCAAAGTCTTTCTGCCCTCTTCAAAGAATTTTTTTAAATTTCGTTTGAGTATATATTCATCTCTGGATATAATCACTTGCTACTCAGAGTGTACCAAGAATATAAATTGTTTTTTTAAATTTTGTATAAATCTCTCATTAAACAGCTCCCAACAGCTTCTGCTGTATTATTAACCCATCTATTTAGACTGTCTGTACCGAAAATTAACTTGAAACTTTCTTCTTGTTTTTGAATTGATGAAAAATTAATGATTTTTTACAGAAAACTGTCTTTGTCGATTGAGAGATCCAACTTCTTTTTGTCTCCCGTGCTACATCCTGGAACTGTATATCTTCAGTATCTGGGTCTCTTGTCTTGTTTTTTCTTTTCAATGCCAGATCTTTGCTGCCTTCAAGAGTATGGAGTGTTATACCTCCTCAGATCACTGCTTTGTTATCAATATTTGAATCTACTACGTTAATCATAAAATAATGACCAATGGTCTTTGCTTTTCGATTATCTCGATAACAATGTTGCCATATACAATCCATTTCTTTTGAAAGTGATGAATTCATTTTTCTGTGGCGTCATTCTAGTTTATGTTGTGTCATCTAGCGATCTGTTTTATTGAGGTTCTTTGCAGACTTTTGGACAAATTTTAATAAATGAAAACTAAACTGCTGAAAATTCTTCAAAGGTCCCAATCAGCACAAAATTCAGTAGTTTTTACCAAAAGAGGTCCATCTGTATTGTTTTAGGTTACTAGCATTTAATACATGGTAAAAAGTTTGTGAATGAAGAAAAAAATAAGACAATAAAATTAAGTTTATGAATTCTAGTTTTTATCTTTACGACATATAGGAAGAAGAGGAGAAGATCCATGGCCACCGAGCTCACCAGATGTAAATCCATTGGATTTTTTCATCATTTAGTATTTACACTCCTAACTCACAATTGAGGTATAGCACCTTGGGTTTTATGGTTTTAGTGAGTATGAGTAAGAGAATATATTCATCTTATAGAAAACGGCAAGAAGCTGCTGCTACCTGCTGGAATGTGAGCTAGGCATTACAAATAAAATTCCGAACTAGTGTCATTAGGGTTATTTTTTTAGTTTTTTAAACTCTAAGTCAGGATAGGTCAATTCAGTTCAGCTCAGGATAGATGTGGTTTATCAATTTTACAGAATTATATCATCTTTGTTATGATATATTCAGTGAAGACACTGAAAATTAGCAAACATATTTTTTCAATATTGGTGATGAGAACAAATTTTAATAAATGAAAAACCTGCAAACTTTTAAAAGGTCTCAATCAGCACAAAATGAAGTAGTTTTTACCAAAAGGGATTCACCTAGAAACTGTATTGTTTTCAGTTATTAGCATTTGAATCATTGTAAAAATTTCATGAATAAAAAAATTACAAAATAAAATTAAGCTTCTGATTTCAAGTGGAACATAATTTTTTATACACATTCTACTACTAAGTAAGTAATTACTTTTGAATAAATTTAATTTTTTTGTAAAAATCAATTTATTAACACATGGTGGATCAAGTGGTGGATGCTTCAAGAAAGGATTGAATTAATAGGGGCTTATATTTTTATAGGTTTATCTTTTGCCTCTGTATTATATAACGACCTGGTAAATTTGTAACCCCTTTTTAAGGAATATAATTGCCTTTTTTTATTTTATATGTCAAATAAAAATACATGATATATATTTATTCATGTTTGAAACAGAATAGAACCAAAGAAATATGTAGGTATGTCTAAGTCAAATTTTACTTACTAATCAGTAAATTTGATATAACCGAGTCACCATATCAAAATTAATTGTTTGTCACAATGTATGTAGCTAGCCCCAAGATCAAAACACAACGTTGATTAAATAAAAACAAAACCAAACTACAATATAAATCAAATCCCATTCTTAACCTAATCAAACTCGGATCGGGACGGCCAAGGTGTGAGCGACATCTAGGTTTTGTAATAAGAATGTCAAAATCGGGGAAAATGATGTATAAAGCATCTTTCACTGAGGCTGTATTCTTGGATTACTAGCAGTTCTGATTTTACCTAGTTCCGCAAATCATTCGTGAGAACGATTATTTCCGTGTAATTCATACATAAATCGCAGATATCCAAATATCACTTTCAACCAGAATTGGTTGAAGAATAAATTGTGCCGGTATTTGAGAGAGGTAAACCCTCGACCATTATATAATAATCTATCAAACACTCTATTTTCTGTTTTTTATGTTCTCTCAACTATTGTAATAGTTGTGTGAAAGCATAAAAAGGCCGCACAAATTATCATTTTAGTATTTTCAACATGAGATTCGAATATATGTTTTTTCAACTCAAAAATTCTCACTTTCAACTCGGAAAAAGTTGATTTGAATAAGGTCGGGTGGGTTTGAAAAGTTCTTATTTATAAAAATTCAAAATTTGTGCAGGTGCAGTTTTTCAATGGAGCTTAAAAATAATCCAACTGGTATATTATAACAGTACTCTACGAACATTCTTCATTGTATTTGCAAGAGAGTTATTTCAATCAATTTAAGAATAATTAAATATCGAAGAGACATCATCTGTGTAAGAGGTTGATGTTAATGACAAACTTGCAATCAACATGCGGTAAGTTTTATATTATATGTGACAAATAAATACAAGAAAAAGCTATAGAAACTTGACAAATCTTGTAGTTCCCTTTAGCATTTACTAAATCTTACGTATCTTTTATTATTTTCCATTTCTCCACCGCAACTCTGTCATGATCAGACATCTAAAATATTTTGATTATTATAAACAATCAATTATCCAAGTTATTCTTGCCTATATAGAATAAAATTTTATAAATTTACCTACATATGAACTCACAACTTTCGGATTTAATAATAATAATAATACATTTATTATTTACCAGTACATAAAAATAATACAAAATAACTTTACAAAACAAAAGTATCAAATGCAGGTAAATAAAAGGAGAGCAGTTAGACTCTGTAGCCAATTCTTCCACAGCCCCCTTGAGAAGCCAATAAATACATATACACGATAAGAAAAGTAAACTATACATTTTCGAACTCTAACCAAATATTATGTTAACAACTATGATTGTTGAGTAGGATTTCATACATAATCCACTGAAACAGGCAACAAACTATTGTTGACTAAATAGAACTCGTTTATACCTAAATTTAAATGCATCACAAGACAACGAAAAATTAGGTACATCCAGGACATCGCCGAAAGTCGCTATATTATAAAAGAAAGATCGTTTGAATACTTCTTTTTTATGCTTGGGTATAGTTAGCATGTTCCTCCGTCGCAAGTTCAAATGATGCACGTCAGTCCTAAATCCAACTTTTTGATATAAGTATTGTCCAGTCTGTCCAGTCTGAAAATACCTCCTTTCCCAATGTGTCTTTTGTAATTCAATAACAGTCTTCCGCTGTTTTCAGTGTTTTTCTATATAACATACACTCAAATTATAACATATTTTTGGCTTTTTTGTCGATTTGCAATGACACATAAATAATACGGTTTCAGATCTTAAATTTCATGTGTAGTCAGAAACAAGCAATAAGAATTCCGGTTTTCGAACTCTTACTCATTTCTTATCACTGAATACATTCAACGAACTTTTCTTATCACCTATCCCTTGTAACTTTCTATTCAACACTGGCCATTAAAATCTTTTAAGATTTGTTCACCACCGCTACTAACTAGACTTCTTAACAGTGATTACCTGAAAAATATATTATTGTTGGTTACTTTTGAAATGAGACGATAGTGTCAATTGTCGTTGACCGCTTTTTTCAAAAGTCATTTTTAAGTTCTGACGAGTCGTCGGAGGTTTCCTGAATTGGCGATAAATTTCTTTACTATTTGTTACTCCGAAGTGTTATCACCCACATTGGATGAAACAAATGAATGGATGATTATTATAATCGAATTAAACTACAGCTGGAGAAAACGAGTGACTTGAATATGATAACAAAAACAATTCGTCTTTTAATCTTTTTTGTTCCAAATTTTTTGAGTTTTCATTTGATTTACGTCAAATTTACTAGTTTTTCAAATGTTTCTCATGATGATTGTCCAAATAAATCTGTCTTAATCTATGAACGTCATTGTTTCTGTCTGAATGAGACAATTGGTGATAACCGGATTTATTTATGTACTTTCTGGTAGAATTCTGTGCAAATCATATAATTCTTCTCATCTAAATTGTTCCTCTCACCATCGATTTGTATTTTGACTTTTGATTCACCAGTTATCAGAAAACCGTGTGTCATAACTCAGTGATCCTATAGTACTGATGTCAGAATAGACGAGTTCTTGAATTCATTGAAGAGCCCATCAATGGATTCATGTATTGGTCCATTCGAAACATCTGCGCGTTATTCGACTCAAAATGGCTACAGACTGATAAACGCACAAAACCCTATTCATCAAAATTATATCGTTTTCTTCAACATAAGACAAGTATGAAAATAAAAGGTCTGCTCATTGAATTGTATTTGAAAATAAACCATCCGTATATGAAAAACTACCTATCGGCGGTACACAAATAGACTTGGAAGTTTTGAGGATGCCTATTTGAATAAATGTTCGTGCAGAATCGTACTTTTTGTTTACATTTCGTATAATTTCAAATTTAGCGCTATTTTTCTCCAATGACATCACTAACGTGGCGACCAAAATCTTTGGCATTTCGCAATTCCCTCTATACCTCTATTCCCTGATAGTAACCTTAGGCCATGTTCTGTTTCCCATGTTGGTTAACCAAGCGATTCACCCATAATGATGGAGTGGTAACTGTTCGGTTGACAGGCGCGCCTGTCGACTCTGTACAAGGCTGCTTGAAAAGAGTCGCACTAAGGAATGACCGATTTTTTTCATAATATGCGTAGGGTATAGGAAAAAATTTTAAGGTGGAGTGTAGGGATACAAATTATCAGTTTCTTCAGACGTACCAGTACTTGACATTTTGAAAATTCCAAACTTGAAACGTTACTGACCACTCCGAAACTGTAACAATGAATTCCACCAGCCGATTGCAGTGTAATCTGATTGGCCAGCGTGAGAAGACTTGTTTATTGTACCCAATAAATACAAATGTGCGTGATGCTCATGCTTTGATCGCGCATCCATCTTTGTTTGGGCTGCTTTGTTTGTTGGATCGATATAGTTTAATAGGGAACAGTGAAACAGAGCGGGGATATTCTCGCAGTATGAATTGCTGTTGGCAACTCTGTATTTTGATAGATGCCAGACACATGTTTCGCATTAGTAATCAATCAGCGTGCTGAACTTGCGTTTCTTTCAGATTCAGTGATCGAGTGATTTATAAATGAATTGATATTGATTAAAAGTACTATTATGTCAAAAAGTCGTCAAGTTTGGTGTCATCATGATTTCAAAATATATAGGGAATAGGTGAATAAAAATTTGTTGAGAACTTTATTTATATTTAAGAAAGACATAATCGCTCCTCAAAAACTAAACTATTTTGCGTGTATGCGGGTTCTTCATTTCCAAATAGGCTAGCTATTATTCGTTCTCAATATTTTCGAGCATTTCCAAGTTTGATATCTTATTAAAGCATTTTTTGAATGTTTACAGAAACAAAATCCAAATCAAATCTAGTTTAACGCGTTTTGAGATGGTTAGGGGTAGAAACGTCAAGATGAAATCCTGTCCCCCCTAATAATAATCCTAAGTCCGGCCCTGATTCGTGTTATACGATCACAGCCTTCCATTCTGAAAGGGGAAGGATTTTTCAAATCTTCATTCAGAGGCCGGTGTTCGAAACCATTATATTTTGTCCGGATATGAAACTCCTGTCCTACCAAAACCGCTCTTACTTTTACTCTTATTGTTTGAGAAAACATCTGAATTTGGACGCTTATTTTGGTCCTAGATATTAACTATTCGCCAAGTTCTATTCGGAAAGTTAGCAGATCATTATTATTTCTTTCAGTAGCAGATTTAGTCAGATGAAATAAATAGAAAATCAATTTCATGGTTCATTTCTTGGTTTTGAAGAAAGATCTATAATACTCAATCAAGATCTACTCCGCCCATATTTTTATTGTACCTACTCACATCTTTGAGGCAAGTGACTTATGCCCTTTGCCATCTTTTGACAAAAGATTTAGGTTGTACCCCAAATGCTGTTGATATCATCATCACAGATTTATTATCCATCCATTATCCATATTTCTATCTTTTTCGAAATCCATTTCTTCAATCCTGCTATTCATTAAAAAGGCAGTACCATGAATATTGAGAAACGGTACCGTAAAATCGGGTGAAATAACCATTATGTTTAGCGACATCTAGTTGTCACCACTCAATTCGTCACACATTTAGGAATGGTATAGCAACACTGGTATTCAAATACTTTTTGTTACGTTGGCTATCATCCTGACATGTCATTTCTTACCTACAAAACTGATGTTTGATGAGGTCTGCAAACTTTTGTTGTTGTAGTCTTAAGTATTTACACTACATGTTTACTAAATATATTTGCTACAACATACATAATCATAGCAAAGCTATATTGAAAAAATTTTAGATATTTCAACACACTTTTTTTTCATAAATTTTTCATCAGAACAATATGCTTAGATATCGTTTTCTAGGTTACTTTGAACGCGTTCAATATAGATGAAGCACCCTTAGAATATGTTGGAGATATAAAACTAGATAAATTTCATTTGGTTCAGTTAAAGTGAAAGCTCTAGTCGATCACTATGTAGGAAAAGTTATTTCCATTGATGACTTAGGAAACCAAAATGTTGAAATTGCATTTTTAAGAATGTCGCTTACAGTGAATTATAAGTTTTTCTGGCCTCAAGTACCGGACGACGAAGTTATACCCATCTCTGCATTATCAACAGCTCTACCAGACCCCCAGATAAACAAAAGATGGGCCTTTTTGTTTGGTGCAAATCATCTTCGCCCATATCTAATTTACATTCATTGTTTTCTGAGTAGTTCTATTTTTTTTAAGTACAATTATTGCCAAATATTAGTTTAGTTCCGTTTATATTAGGTATATTTTCAAGGAATACTGCTGTTTTTTCATGTATGTTTTGTTACAATGAGTGTCTTATACTGTTTGTGAATAATAAAAGAAGTGAGGAGCCAATTTCGTTGTTTTACCATAGGCGTGCGCTCATATGAAAACGAAATTTAAGGTTATTATAGAATATTTTCTGGTAAATTACTTATAACCAATAACAAAAACTAAAAACAATAATAACAACAGCGAATAAACTAAACACAATATCAAATTCCGACCGTTTATTATAACGATCCAATCCTTCGATACTACAACACTGAACACGTTGGATGAGAATCTCATCTTAAAAGCGATTGAAGGTCCCCGGTAACTCGGGCTAATCACGTGGTAAGATAGCCTACTGGTTGTATTATTCTACTGTGCCTATATTATCTATCAACATCAACTTCATGCAAATTGATCCATAATACGAAAAATGTGCTTCGTGTCATGACGTCGGGTATAAAGTGAAATTCATGTATTTTATTTCGATACATTTGACGTGGACATTTTTAAAAGCACATCATTACATGCAAGCCAGAAAATTGTATGATTTCCGTGCTTGAAATATTCAGTGGAGTTCCCTTTCTATGTAGTATTAGGAATCGTAGTGGGCTCCCATTACAAAAAAAAAACATTATTGAGGTATCTTTTCAAATGTCCCTTTCACCACTTTCACTAATGAAACTATCATATTTCTAATGTAATTTTTGGTAGAATGACAAAGGAACATTATCTTCTTCGTCCTCGAACTCTTCCTCGATGAATTGTGAAAAATGAATTTAATTTATGCCTCTTAACTAACAATTCTAGAAAATCACATTATTTTCATTTCAAAATTCCACTATTGCATATTCCCAACATATTTCTTACATTTTACGTTTTTTCCTAAAAAACATGTACTCATCTCCAAGTGCCAATTTGGATGCAACACTTCTACACTCTTCAAAACACAGTAAACAACTAGAGAATAGTGTCTAGTATTCTGTGATACAACCGAGTTGAAAACTTGGAGCATGTTTAATACAAATTGGCTTTTTACATGTTTCACAAACATTAAATGTAGTATCAGTCCTATACAAATACTATTTTGCACCTTAATCACACTTTGGACAAGTGGTCACAATTGTGGAAAACTGTGCTGAAAGGGATAAAAATTGAAAATATTCTTTATTTTCTCTTATTGTGTTCATGCTCACATCTTGTGCTTGAACTATGAGGTGAAGATAAAAAATGCAAATTTAAATTTTCCAAGAGTTACTATTCAATTCCCCAGATACATCTTCAGATAATGATGATATAAAAGTTAGAGGTGCTATAGGTATGTAGATGAATATGAAACATTATTGAGATTTTTGTTTTTTAATATCCTGATTATTATTAATTTCAAGGAATTATACAACGTTTTGCCTGAGCCGGGGTGGATAACTAAATATTTTTTTCAAGTAATCAGACCGAGGTTCACTGATTACATTTCAACAGTTATGAATAATTATTCTGAATTTGAATTCAAAAAGAACTTTCATTTGAGTAGAACCACTTCCAATCAAGATTATAAATCCACAAAAGAAATGATCATAGGTCATCATTTGTCACCAAGAGACCAGGTTCCATTAGTGTTGTGGTATTTTGCCACTCCTAATTCATATCGATAAGATAATATGTTGTTTACATTTCTATTAAAAGACTATTGCAATAGATAGAGGTGACAACGAATATTTAAATTTTTTTAATAAGGTTCTTTATAGCAATAATCAATGTTTTCCTTAATTCTGACACTAGATGTCGCCTACTCCGTAGTCCTCGCGAAAAATAAACATTCATTTCATATTTAACTGAAGTTTTGAAACTTCATGACCGGAAATCAAATGAAAACTTCAATTATCCGAACTAGGTATTTGTGGTCCAATGGAGAGATTGGCTCCCAACGTTTCGCCCACAACTCGACGAGCATCCTGTGTGGTTGGCAGCATTGCATTGTGACCTCCTCGTAGGTAGAGATTATGAGTCCACCAATATAATCAATATTAATTCGATGACAATTAGGAAAACAAATAATCATTTTTATTGTTGATTATAATAGTTACGAAAGAATTTCATGCTTCGAATGAAAAAAGGTATTGATTCATTGCATAGTATTATCGATAGAAGTGAAGATATTGGAGAATTGGCGAGTGCGTTCCTAGGACCTCATTTGAAAATCAGGTGAATTCTCATATCAATAGAAAAAAATCTAATGTAATTTGGCGAAGCAGCGCATTTTGAAATCGAGGAAGCAGTCGGGAACACTCCTCGCCGTATTTCTCGGTTGATTTTGAGAGATATCCGAATCTTGAGGGTATTTTCATGCTGGTGTAGAAAGTTTAGGGGGTTCCCGTATAGGGAGACTCATATGCTCTATTATAATAGTATCGGTTTTTAAACGTGCGGTTTTATTTAATATGTGTTGCATACATTTTCAACATTTGAAACATTATTGATATAGATTTGAAAATAAAGTATCCAAATATATCATACATTTATACATTTTGAAATAACATCTTCAAAATTCGGTAGGTGATATCGCAAATCGATAGTTACCAAAAGGGTAGAACCACCAATAGATCGGTAGGTTGGCTACACTGGTCCCGTAACTAACCCAGACTTCGCTAACGCTAATATTTTTCTAATCGGTTCAACGGGACATTTGACACTTCGGTGCTGTATTGTTAAGCCCTGTTTTCCTAGAGACGTATATTTCACATCGCGTGCGACGTGTTTACGATCAGCTTAATACGTCGCCTACTTCTTTATAGTGATAGGGATTCAATATGACTGTTTTCATAAAGAGCGCATCACGATCCACACCTACATGATGCTCTCAACGTATTAGACTGACTGCTTCCAGAGGAATCTATTCGGTTTCACGCTGTAATATAGTCAGGTTTTTTTTCGATAAAGTTTGTTTCGATTAGTGTGATTAGTGTTATTAGTGACTTCCTGATAAGGCCACAATTCTCACATGCTTTCCATCAATAGAAAATCCTACAACGCTTCCACAAATTTCCAAAACTCCTTGGCTTTCTATTTCCAGTCTATCTTATTAGGGGACAAACAATAAGCACAAGCTTTTTTTTTAAGCACAGCCAACGCCTTAGGTACTATCGTGCTTATAATAGACGACGTTATGCGGTAGCCAAAAGCCAGTGATCTGTACGACTCTTCCGTGGCCAGAAACCTGAAACAAAATCAATAATGAGGTGTTCAAATTGAGTATGAACCATCATTCGAAGATTACATTTTATATAATTATACTTTTTTCCGATTTATATAGGAGTCTTCTTTTGTGTGTTACAGGAGGTAAGTCCAAGAAAAGTTCAGATGCAAAAAGGAAAGAAAAAAGAAAAAGAATCCGTGCAGGAAGTGCCGCTTAAAAGAGTAAGAGAGTTTATTGGGGACGTTTGCATTTTTTGGATGCAGTGGAAGATTAACGGGAGAGTCGATTTTTCCCATCCAGAAGTGATTGATGAAAGTGATTCAAACCAACGAACTCATGAGGATCCCCATGAACCTAAAAGTCGAAGGCTTGATGCTGCACCATTTCGAGTCCCCAAAAAGGAAAGACAATCAATTTGTCCATTTATTTAAGAGTTAAAGCCAGTTTTTCTGCAGGTATAATAGGTAACTTGACTCTGTTACAGAAGGTTCTACAAGGTTTAACACTTATGCGAATCTTTCACGGGACAATCTACAATACCTTCTGAACATTTCGTCTTAGTTAATGAAACGACTATTCATTGTTTGGAAAAAACCCACGTTTTGTCGATTTTTATGAGAGTTACTCATTTCTTTTCTAAATTTCACATGTTTTCAGAAAATATGGTCCTCCTCTTCATTATTTTCATTTGTTCAAGAATAATCAATAGAATCATTTTTTCTTCTTTGGATTCGTTCTATGATGATTCACTGGGACACTGTCCGTCCGTACGTCAACTGAATAGAGAAAACATTAAAACGCCGCGTGAAAAGTTCCACGACCCTGCCGACGCCATTGGGACGAACCCGGTTCCTGCTGGGCGAAAAACACGTCGCTAGGAAAATATACTTTACACTGCGGTGACAGATGAGTAACTGATTTTTCAGGAACCGTATCCCGTTACTAACCTGAATAACGGGACAAATTGTAACCTTCTAGACAAACGGAACACGACCTTACTATAATTGACAGCTACACGTCAACAATTGTGAACATCAGTGACTTGTCAAACAAAACATCAACACATATGCAGAGTTTTTGTATTTACATTTACGTTAAAGTAAAATCATTTTTCAAAGCTGGCATCAAGTAAAATGAGAAGGGCTCATGGTGGTAACTATTACCAGCCCCTTTCCCAAGATTCCAACGAAATCGAAGATGAAAATAATCGAATGACTCAAGAACTACAAGAGAAAATTGGTGTCCTGAAATCTTTATCTATTGATATTGGCAATGAAGTGAAATATCAAGACAGATTACTTGGAGATGTTGATGATGACATGGATAGAACTAGTGGATTCTTGGGAACAACTATGAAAAAGGTGTTGAGGCTATCCAGAGGATCTCACAACTACTATATTCTGTACATGTTCTTATTTTCAATAATTGTATTTTTTATTCTTTACTTAGTCATTAAGTTCAGGTAATATCTCTGCCTGTAAAGTATCTTTTTAAATTAAATGTTAAATTGTTATAATTCTTTGTACAGTTTGGGTTTCACATTATTTCCACAAACAATACTGATTACTGATTGCCTTCAGAACTCAACACTAAATGTTGTAAAAAGCTATCTCAAATGGCCATGCCATAAAAGAAGAAAACTCTTTTGATGAAAATCTCAGCTGAGACTTCAAGATATACCCTTCGCCCTCACAGTCTCAGCTGAGAAGTCTAGATATAACCTAATGTGAATGTCAAGTTTCAACCTAATTTGACGTTATCATCCTTGGAGAGTTGAGCTTTATGCAAATCCTGGATTGATCCAGGTAATTAACTCTAGGTTATATAGCTCAATCAAATACTAGCTATTTTGCATGAATACACCCCTAATAAAAAAAATCAACAACAAATTATTGATGATTATAATTTAGGTATACTATTTATTCTTGCCTTTCACTTTTTTGTTTTATGGAGTAGGCAAGTTTAAATATTTTAACCTCCTATAAAATGAAATATGGTTTTCACAAAGATTTGTTTTTTGCCCAATGATTTGTCCAATATATAGATTGGATGATACATCCACAATGATAATATAATACTTTACAAAATTATCTGGAAATAGAATTATTATTAGACAAATCATTTTGTGACACAAACTCATCTACTTTACTTTCAATTGTAAATTTTTATATTTTAATACAATTATATTGAAGAAGAAAATAATTCAAGTCATGAAATTATGAAACTACAAAAATTAATTGGAGCTCCAGGACGACTTCATTGATTCCAGTGGTGCATTTGCTTTTTCAGCTGCAGGAAAACCCAGAAAAACCTGCAGCACCACATCATCTGAAGGTCTTGATTTGCTATCGTCCTCTCTTTCGTAAAACAAAATGTAGCTTAATGTAGGGTATCTCCAGAGGCTCCAATATATTCAAGACATCGCCAGAACACTTCGTGATACGACTATCGTCAAATTTAAACCAGTTTGTTTCATTTCTGAGCAATGAGTAATAATGGCCAGATTCAACGCCAGAACCACAGTGAACAATGACTGAAACTAGTTTACTTCACAGTGTTCTTTGATTGATTTTAAATAGTTTGATATAATTGTCAGTTCGTATTTGAAAAATTCATTAGAAGTTGGCAGATCACAACACTAAATGGTGTAAAAGGCTATCTCAAATGGTCATGCCATTAGAGAAGAAAACTCTTTTGACCAGGTTTCATTTGATGAAAGTCACAGCTGAGACTTCAAGATACACCGTAAGCTGAGAAGTCAAGATATAACCTTTGTTTTTGCAATCAATGCATATACCACTGATGATGTCTGCCGCAGTAGCAGACGAAATGTTTGATACAAGTTCCATTCAAATACGGCCTACCAGTCTGGATTTTGTTCTCGTTAATACTGCAGAATACTTAGTTGTTAATAAAGCCTTGCTCATATTTCCTATCTGAAGAATGAATTTGATAAAAGGTTAGATATACCTTCTTTTCTATGGATGAGGGTTGGACTCAATATTTTACAAATCTACGTCATAACTATCACTTGATTTTAGGGTTTACTTATATACTATCAGTACCTATTAAAACTAAGTTTCAATCAGTTCCATAACTTTACTACACAATAATGACATCTTCAAAGCTCTAAACTCCTCACCAATATTTTCACAGATTTAATTTGACGTCATTAAAACCTCTGCCCCCGTAATCTGATCCTTTCAACTTGTCAGATAGTTTTGGATACGATTCATCTCCTTCGTAGACTGCCACTCTTGACTCCAAAACTCTCCATCCACCTTTCCGAGTCCAATCAGATTTATTATATTTGAAATAGTAGGTGAACCAGTAAACACCAACTACTCCTAAAAATATTTTGCCTGTGAAATATCTGATAGAATATGCTCTTTGAGCCCCAACAACGGGTTCGATTGCTTTTGCCAACTGATCCAGTGGCCACCTATACGCTCTTCGAATGGGATTATAGGTAGCCTTGTACATTTCAGGAACTCTCCTCGGTTCATTGGGCGATAATTCTTGATCTTTCAGCCATTGTTTACGAAAGGCTCGTTCAGCATCAGTCATTCCAAAAAGTCGTTCTCGCTCATCCACATATCGCCCGGCGATGGACATAGGTTTAACACCCCCAGTATTTGAAGCTTTTCCCATTTTTATTTAAAAATGAGAACAGATTAGCTTCGTAAATGAATAAATTACGTAATATATATATATTTACCACTAGCTACAAATTTTAGGCTAATGTCATTATATTGTCATAGTGAATGACACTCGACAGTCGGCAGACATGGGACAAATTAGACATTTGACTTGCACCATTGCTGCTCCCTTTCCCTCTCAATTGAAACTGGAAAACCATTTTTTTATTTAACTCGTCCACAGCAACCTCAATGCACATTAATTTGAGGTTTTTTTGTAAATACCAGAAAATCTGTTTCTCTCTGTTTGAAATCTGTTTTTCCGTTAACCAGCTGTCGCCCCCTACGGACGACTAGTCTCAAAAGTCGAAACTTGTGGGAGCTAAGGACTAACGAGATCTTACCTTTCAACGTGATTCCTAAAAAATTGATGCTGTATATCGCAATCGGGATAATATTGAAAATATGTATAATCGGTGCTGGTCGAAAATCATCTTCAAAGTATCAATAACGTTTATAAAGCGTAAAAACGTCGTTTTATCTATTTCGAAACCCCTCGTATACAATATTTTATAAAACGCGAACCAATTCTGGTGAAATGATAAACAATGAATATTACCATCTGAAATGTATCACAACAAACATCATTCAGAGGGCGTAACAAGTGAATTTGATGGCAAACTTCGTTACACACTAACGACAAATACTTAACCTTAGTTGACACAGACTACAGAAACAAGTTTAGATAGGCAACTGTATACTTGTAAATACAAAATACTAATGCTCCACAGGTCCGTAGCGGATGTTACCCGAACTACATAAAGAAAACTGTAATCCCGAGTATTTGAGGGCGGGCTTTTTAAAAGTTCGCTCCAATTTGAATAGTAAAATTTTAAATGTATGCACATAAAGTCAACATCATATGAAAGTTCCCTCTCATAATAGATGTAATATGTCAAGTATAACCTCTGTGATATTTTGATAATAATTATAAGGAGTTCAATGTGAAACCAATTTTCCAATAATGACTATCCATTGAAAGTATATACATTGGTCTATATTAACTATCTTATAACTTATAATATAGTGTAGATAATAGTTACTAGTTTGTTATTCCAAATTACTACTTAAAATGGATTTGTTTAAGATTTTATATAATCTATAGTTTCAATTTTTTCTTTTCTTATTTTTTTCAAATGTTCTTCGAGCATGCACTTTAATCGGATCTATATATGCTTTGGGAGGGTTTTTGGATAGAAATTTAGAAAATTTTGTGTCAATTCCCTTTGCAATTTTATTAACACTTTTAGTCCACCAAAATAAACTACAGCGAATTATAATTTGACAAAGTTTTTTGCCTGTATCATGTTGAGGACAATTAAGAGGCTGAAAATACAATTTATTTGTTAAAATGTTCTCCAAACATATTGAAATATTTTTTGCAGTTCGTAACCGAGGAATAATGTAGAAAAGATAATTAAGAGACTGGCTAACTAAGAAATTCAAACACTCCCCGGTCGAATCAAATGACCTCGTTCATACTGTCGAGCATCTATAAAATCGTCATCCGACTCTGAGTTATACCTGAATAAAATATTTCTTTTACAATCATCACAATTATTAACAATTTTGGATTTTAAAAGAATTCTACTTATTGACCCACTCATGTACTTCAATGTACATCTTGCCAATTTTGTTTTACCAATATGTAAATTGTCTGGTATGCCAAACATTAAGACTGTCAAACAGCTCATCCAAAAATAAAATTAAATCGGCAGTGTGCTCTGCTTCAGCAGGTAAACTATGGTTGTCTTTGATATCTGAAACAGAAATATAAAATGGAATCAAGATCATAAAAGAAAAAAAGTAAAATCTACTAAAAATAGGAGGATTTATTGACATTATTGCTACATAAATAACTTCGAAAGCCAAATAAACTAACAGTTGATCACAAAAAACACAATATGTGCCTCATTTGGATAAGAAAAGAAATAACTTTACAACAAAATGTTATCACCTTTGAGTACTCCTTATGAAAATGATTAAGGTTGTTAATATAAAATGCAATGATCAATCAGTATTTATTAAATAAGCACAACTACAAATAAAAATAACAAATATATCTTACCCCAATGTGCAATCCTTTTCATTAAAGATCCGACACTGTAGCTGAAAACTTGAGTACAGGTTTTAACTTTCATTTTATTCATCTTTGATTTATAAATATGAGCATCTGTTAATTTGTAGCACATTCTTAAAGATGGTTCTGACGAATCGAGTTGATAAAATTTTTCGATGTGATTCCATTTTGCCACTTTTTCAATCCCATTTTGTGTATAATGTAAATTTTTGTTCATTAAATTGTTTCTCAGTCCTTTCAAGAGATGAGGCACATCGTATAATAGCACAACTTCATGGTTGTCAACCAAAAAACCAAAATAACGATTCTCTGTATTACTTCTCAAAAAAACTTCTTTTGTTTCTTGAAGAAGCATATTGATTGCAGACGCATTGGTGGTTCCTTGGTCACATACCGTAGCTATAACATTCAGCCCTATGATAAAACATTCTTTAATGATTTCTTTGATCAGTTTCTTGGTCCATTGCTGAAAGTAAACACTACCGGCTGCTTCCACTGTTTATACACCCCTTTGAGCATGAAAACATTAGCATGATTTGCTAAAACTGGGTGTCTTTCTGTTCCATAGTCTTGAAACCCCACAATTTCATCATCCTGCCTTTGGTAGAATAAGTTGGTATCAATCGACATCTCATCGAACATTAAAAGACAAACTTTTTCTCTAGCATCCTTCATTCTTTCAACTGCTTTCTTTAAGGAGTCAAATATTTGCTGATTAATGCCTGGTTTGAAAGGTATTTTTCTCAAGAGATTTGTCAAGGTTCGAGGAGATGGTAAAGCAAATATTTTGCATAACAATCTGTATCCTTTCCCACTTGCCTTATAGAGACTTAATGCCAATACTTTGTCTTCTATTGTATATCTTCTTGCCTTTGCCCTTTTCATCTGAATGCGGATTTGACTTTCAATAAAAGTATATGTTGGATCGTTCACATATTTGAGAAGACTCTCAAAATTTGGTGAATTGGCAATCTTAATGGCATTTGCAAGACGTTCCTTGAAGCTTATTATTTGTTTCTGCATTCGATTCATTTGTGTGCTCCACGTTTTTACTTTTTTATACAAAGTCTTTGCTTTTGGGGTTAGTTGGATAGCCCGGGTTACATTCACTTCTCTCAAAATATATTTTCTTTTGCTAATACCTAAAATAAATTTCACATGACAATGAAAAAAATAATTTATGTGGATCTTAAAAAATATATATTAAAAATTATGATTGTAAAAGTAATAGATTTGAGTACGAGAACACCAGCTAAATGTACCTAATCGTAATTTGTTAGTGCTATATATTGTTTATCTTGATTATAATATTAACAAATTCTATATAAGTCTATCCTAACATTTCCTTTATTAACCTATAGTGTTCCTGTACAAACGACGAAATACCTAGTTGCTTGCTACATATTGTATAAAACTCTTCATGAGAGCATAATTTGATATATCGTCTTGATTAACTTTATTATAACAACCACATCATAACTCAAATAAGTGGAAATATAATTATACTCAGAGCTTCATATAAAATATTCAATTCTTAACTAATTGTCCATTAGAGATAAAGTTCAGTGGAGACTGCAGTGCAATTGTCCAAGTAATAAAAGTTGAAATAAGGACCTCAGAATACTCTTTCTAAGCCCTTAGTTACTCTAAACATGAACATTAGTTTTTTATCTGGAATGTATTGAATTTTAGAATGTACCTACCTGAATGTAGGTAATGTTTGTACTGCCTAAAATATTGTAACGAATTAAAGAATCAACTGTCTTAAACAAATTTATTTTAACAATACTTNATCTTTTATGTGATTAGGAAATCCATTGTATCCTTTCAAGCCCTTATATAATAATGATTTCATTTTTTCTCACCTCTTGGAAGAGCAACAGGTTTGCATAAAGGGGAAGATGGTCTAGTAATTTCATCTTGTAACTCCTGAAAACTTGAAGTTGATGGTCCTGAGTATATAAGTTCTTCATTTGTTGAGGAATAATCTGAAGAAATTCCATTGAAATATTAAATAATGTCTAATACAAAAAAAATAATACATTAACTGTATTAAATTCTGAATAAACATCTTCATTCTTCTGGTTGAATATATAAACGGTGCAACCAATTAGAGAATATAGATATTGAAAATATTATACATATACACAATATGGTACAAAATGAGGTATATTATATTTTTACCTGGGTCAATTCCTACTGGCTCGTTTGCACTCAATTCCTGGTGATCTGGTTTTCCTTGGAAACCTTTAACTAGATTGTAGGTAAGTGATAATAATAATAATAATATTATCAATTGTGAAGTAAAAATAAAAAAAGTTTATTAAATAATATCTGGCACCATACACTCCGGGGGAAAATGTTCATGACAAACATGATAGGAGTTGTAGATTTTGTCTAGAGAAAGATTTTCGTAATTATAAGGTTTAATTCGCTCGATCCAAGTATTGAAAACATCCGGTTGATTTTTGGGAAAACGATGTCTTTTACTATCCCTATTAGTACAGCCTGCGACGCAACAGCTTCTACGCTTTGTTGGGGGAACATAGTTCTCATCCATTTTTTAAATACAACTTGCACAAAACAATCGGTATTAAATAAGTTTATAACTTGTGATCAACATGTACTGAAAATAAAATGAGTAATGACAGAAATATATTTACCCAGATAATTAGTCTTTCAGTGCTACCATCTCTAGGTACCTGAGAATATAATTACACTCATCAGCACCCCCTGTCGGATGTTTCCCTAATATTTACATTTTGGCGGGAAAGCGTGTGTTACTTTTCTATTGTTTACAATCAGTATTCTGTGTTAGTTGATAAAAGCGCTCGCGCAGCTGAGTTTTGTCATTATGTTACAGATATTTGAACATTTTAAAAAAATTCAAATATTTTATTACAGATTTGATGCAGTATATTTCCTCTTCTCTTTTGGGGCTGATAACCACAAAGAGTTTGATAGAAAAACTGCTCTGAAATAGCGTTTGA